CAACAAGTAATTGACTACCTTAAGTATGCCCTGCATATCAAGCACAAGTCAGAAAATGCATTAGTTACATTAGTCATATAACAAAAAATATCAAACACAATAGATATTACTTTCTGCATGTCAAACATAATGGTGAGATCTCTACCTTTCTGCAGCATCAAGTCATCAATAAAACACTTGATAAACCAACTCCATGTGAAAGTGTTATCACACTCTACAATGGCCCAAGCAATTGGAAACATCTAATTATTGCCATCTTTAGACACAACTACAAGCAGTTATCCCTTACACATTCCTTTTAAGAAACAACCATCTAGACCAATAATTCTTCTACAACCTTCCATCTAGCCTTTCTTCATGGCATAGAAACACACATAAAAGGACTGGAATACATGCTTTCCATCCCTATTATCTACTAACTTTACAACACAAGTTGTGCCAAGATTAGTCTGTAAAATGACACCCCTATAGTCATACAATTTTTTAAACTCTTTCTGAACATCTCCAATTAATTCATTCAAAATCTTTGCCCTACCTCTATGGACAGTGGACCTACCAACATACATGTCTAGTTCTAGCTTAATCAGCTTTTTCAACTTCCAAACCCTCATATTTGGCTGGGAATAATTTTATCCATGTAATGCTTTGCTAGATATCTAGAGCTGCAAAGCTTGTTCTTGTGGGTCCGATAATACTTATGGATAGGACAATACCTCTTCACTTTAAAATTGTTGTATCTGTCATCTTTGCTAGCAAACAGATTCCATGGAAAGCCACCATTGTATCTTACACTCACCCGACCAGGTTCATCAATGATCTTTTCAATTTGAACTCCTTTCTGGATAGCATATCTGGATACAACCCACCTAAACTCAGTAACACTTTCAAAAATAAGGCCCAACTCCCATATTATTTTCTTGACAGTTGGATCAAATATCAACCTTTTTTTTTCTTCTTTGCATCAATATTTCTCTTGTATTCTTCATCAAACTCATTTTCCTCATCTGAAGCAAAACTTTCAGTATCAGAAGAACCAAAATATGGTTCATCAGCCCCAACTAACCCTTCATTCATATTTACATTGCTATACATGCTCAACTCATCAAACCCATTGTCTATACCACCATCCCCTAGATTTATGTCACCCTTATCTTTAGGCCTTTCACTCATTTTCCACATATACTTCCTCAACATTTCCATCACTCTCAGACCTAGATGAATTATCAAAATTTGAGTCATTCTCATCGTCAAACTCACCTTCATCATCTTCCTCTGTTTCCCCCTATTGAGCAGTTTCTCCCTCTTGCTCTTCTAAGTTTATAGTGACTTTATCAGCCTTACTATTTGTCTTACCAGCCCCTGGACCAATAGCATTTATGTCAATAACCATTAAAGGGGCAACATGTATGACATAAATGTCTAGGGTATCCCCATCCCCTAATTCATTTAAAATGTCTAATATATCCTTATCAGCTCGTGTATTTACCAATTTATCAGTTTTGTCCATGGGATAAATATACATCTCAGCAACAGTTTTTAACCTCATTTTCTTAGTGTAGTCCATAAACTCAAAAAATGACAACATATCCACATCTACCTCTAAGATCAATGATTGACTATCCCCCACATAACGATCATAAGTATCTGGAACTAACACCCCATCATGATACCATTTTAATGTAATCAATTTAAAAGATATTTTTTCTGTAAAAGGGGGGAAGAGAGTTCACTCGCACATGCAGTAATGAATAAAGAAATAAAAAGCTACTCATAAAGCTAAAGCAATTCACAATATTCAAATCAGATGTAACCAATAATAAAATACTCTTAAAAAGTAGAAGCACGGCAAATAGAAAGTAACATTGAGAATGACAAAGGATTCCCCTTGAGAAAAGTACAAAACCCTAAATCGGGTAAAGAAAAATAACAAAAAATAAAATCACATGCACTAGACGGATACAGTGTGCATACTCACCAGAAGGACTTGAAATCAACCTCTTGTGAATGGTAAAAATTACCCGATGCAAATCATATCCACATGCACTAGATGGATCTCCTTCAACGCCTTCAATAGAAGAAGAGTCGATAAATGGGGAATTATTTTGGGCTTATTTGCACTTAGGCTTTTAATCGGAGTGGCTAGTGTCAGGTCGGGTCGGGTAATGTAATAGATTTATTAGACAGATGGGTCAAGAGTAAGTCAAGCGCATGTAATATACCGTATGAATTATTAATGGACCTGGTCAACTTTGGGTCTTAGACAACTTGGCAAAGGTTAGATGTGTAAAAGTTTATCCAAGTTTATTGGGTGTGTAATACGAATTTGCCTACAAGGTTGATGGGTAACTATGCATTTTGCCACTTTTTATGGATAAGTTCGAGCCATTATTAACAAGCAATAAATTTCACCTTATTGCGTGGACATTGGACAATATACACAGCTTATTTCTTTACTTGAGATTATTTGCAAAAGAAGAAACTACTAGGGAAGTTATTTGCATTTGCAACTAATCAAACAACTAGATTATATTAAATGCATTTAGAATCTTAAAGAGTTGTTGCTTTCCTAAGATAGACAAGAAACTACATTTTGAGCTACAATCTTCCACCCCCCCCCCCCCC